ATTGAACTTGTCGCCGTGAGCACTTCAGCTGCACGAGACTGATGTCTGATGTAGATGTCCATCTGACCAACTGCGTAACGTCGCCGAGGTTACGACAATGGTAGCCGCAGGGTAAGAAACAAAAACCGTGAATGGAGTTGACAGGAGTTGACGGATCTGAGCAACTAATCACCACGCATGATGACTATAAATGATAGGAAGCTTTCTTGCAGACTAAGACAACAAACCATTCCCCCAAACATAAAAAAGCCAACTGATACAAAGCCCTCAGAAGCAGAAATGACGAGAACACTTCACGAACTCACTGACGAAACGGAATTCTGGGAATGTCGCCAGACAAAAGGTGACGGCAAGACATGTTTCAAGATCAATGAAAAAGAGGACAAGGTGTGCATGGCGTGTAGGGCGAGGCGGGATAAGGGAGATAAGGCTATTGATAAAGACGGTCTCGAGATTGGGGAGCTGAAGAAGGTTGAAGGTGGCAAGGAGTTTTGGGAGTTTAAGAACTGAAGGAGGTCGGGTTGGAGTGAAGTGAATCAAGCAGATAGACATTGCCATTCACAGGATTATCTTTGCGTTGTGATTAGTATATGTCCTTTGATCACCGTGAGTGTTTGTAGTGAAAGTCGCTGAGTTGTGATGCATGTTGCGATAGTCAGTTCACTGCCAGCGACGTAGGGTAGCTTCAAGCTGAATCGCCTCAATGAAGCAACGCTTCCTAACAGTGACTTGAGACGTAAACATCAGGTAGAATGGATACAAAAGTAGTGGTATCGCCTCAAAACAGAGAAGGCAAACAAGCGACCAAACAAACAAACAAGCCAACTGCACCGGCACTGAGATCTACAACTCCAAAATATATTAAGCCCCAAAGCTTCCACCATGACAGAGACATATGACAAACCTCCTGAGACGATCCTGTTCTGGCAGTGCAGGCAGCGGATCGAACCGAAAACGAAATGCAAGTATCTCAATAACAAAGGAAACATGACTTGCAATGGCTGCAAATCAAAACGGGGCAAAGGAGACATTGCCCTCGATCAGTATAAACGCAAAGTTGGTGTTCTGCAGAAGGTGGAAGGATTGGTGGAGTATTGGGAGCATTTGGAGCCACAGGACCCGGCTCAAGAGGGAGGGACTGGAGCGTGATTTGATGGAGCAACATGGTGATTGCTCTGAATTGGGAAGACTCATAATCAAGGTTCAGAGGCGGCGAAACTCGGGTCTAAATCACAAATGGCGAGCTTCCATCTGAAGCCGTGTATTCAATTCGTAAGCGACCAACATACCTGGAATATGAATACAAGAGAGACTTGCTGCAAGGCAAAGGGAATCAAGAACCCGATGTCTATTCCCCGCGTAATACGCGATAACTTTCACCTTTATTGGAATGTTCTTTGTGAAAGGATGTGCTGTTATAAGGTTGAGTGGCTGTAGGGTATGTGGATATTGTCTTCTAAAATCTAAAGCTAATCGGGTTCTTTCAGTGTGTTGCTTGATATGCCTCGTTGAGATGTTATAAGCTTTCACTATCGATTAAGTTGAAGAGTTTAAAAAAGGAATTAGCCTCAGTGCACAAAGGTCACACAGCATTTAGGTAATATATATATTACTCTCACCGTTACCCAGTGTCTTGCTTTCGGCTGGAAAGCTAGTTATCCTAATGACTGACTCCAAAGCTATATCAACACGGCAAGACACATCATCTCGATTCAGCTCGTAAGTTTCCTTCCTTCTTTGATCAACTCCCCTTGTCAGAGTGAATGCTCATAAGTCAAAACAGCCATCAAGTGATATATGTTGGAATCATTCACTGACAGCAGCACAGCTATAACAGTGGTAGCTTCTCCGAAAATCCACCAAACGCCTCAACAATTAATTACTCTACAACCTCGAAGCAACACACGAAACGGAACAGCCATGGCAGAGATGCACAACGTACCTCCTGAAAAGAGTGTCTTTTGGCTGTGCAACCAGTACAAGGGTGAGGGAGAGAAATGCGGCAACCTCAATGATATAAAAGATAAGCAATGTGACGATTGCAAGATGAGACGAGATAAGGGAGACTTGGCCTGCAACGAAAGAATACGAGTCATTGGCAAGCTGAAGAAAGTGGAAGGGTTAGTGGAATTTTGGGAATACATTGAGATGGATGCCTGAGTTTGGTGGCTTGGCAGGGACTGTGGTTGGTTTCAGGGTAAGCAGTGACAGTTAGAACATGGCATGACTGGTTTGTAAACACCATCAAGATCAATGCGTCTCTTGTTCATGTTGCTCTCTTTGCCTCGTGAATCGCCGTCTTCATGAAGTGATTCATATTTTTTCCGACCACAAATCAGAGTGACACACCACCGTTACAGTGAGGCGCTGATCGCAGGGTAAGTGACACCATCTCAGCACCGCAGTGAACTTCAGCGGAGACACACCAGGGCCATTAGCGTAAAGACTATAAATACCATAGGAAAGAACCATAAACTATCAACTACAGCAAGCAATTCAAACAATTCAAGCAATAATTCCTCATCAACGAAACATCAACGAAAATGCCTATGGTATACAGAATTCGAGAAGACACCGAGGTCTGGAAGTGTATGCGAACAAACCCCGATGGGACAAGATGCCCTGGGGCAACAGACCCAGCACAAATGCTTTGTCACAAATGTGGGTTGAAGAGAGACGTTGGAGCAGTCGCTAATAATGAAGATGGCAAGAAGATTGGAGAGTTGAAGAAGGTTGAAGCTACTGGGATCGAGCACTGGGAGTTCAACGACAATTAGCTTTGTGTAAGAAAGGACCGATAGGTTCTGTAGGCAAAATGAATTCAACATAAACAGGCTTTTGCCACTATAATTTGAACTTACTATATCTTGCTCGTCGTGCCACTATAGCTATCACAGAACCTGGCAACTAAACGATGGATAGGTGAAGTAAGTTGCACCAAGGTCTGTCGAACTACTTAACCTCCAACCTCAACGCATCATACTGCACATAAAGCGTATCAGGCAAAAGTGCCGTCTCAACACTAGAAGCATTAAACGGCAAACTCAACACAAACTCATTCCTTCCCACCCTCAGCCTCTCAGCCGGAAACTCAAACTTATGCTCAATGTTCTGACACGCCACAGCACTACGAACAGCACACGAGCCGCTCCTCCAGTACGGAATCACCCATGTATCCTCATACCCGCCGTTAACATTAACAGTCCAGGGTAAGTTGCTGTTGAAACGATCGTTGACGGGCGTCCACTTCGCGTTACCGTTGCCGGTGCGTACACCGGCGAGTTGCACTGTAAAAGTAGCTGTTTTGGCGTTTTTGAGTTGTGGTTTTGTTAGATCGAATGTTATGGTCCAGTTGTTGACGTTGTCGTAATAATTCTCTGTTCGGAGATGGTTTCCTTTCGCGGCGATGAAGGACCAGTGGACGTAGTTTAGATCTTTAGCTTCGTTATCCTTTCCGACGTGGAAGCTGACACCCTTAGGGAAATCTTCGGCAAAGTCGTATTTGGCCCAGTAAATGCGGTATTGCTCGGGTTGAAGAGGCTTTGAAGTATCAGGGGCGTATCCGTGAAGATACTCGCCAGATGACTTGTCTGGTGTACCAATACGCCAGAGCTCTTTTCCGGCGTTCTCCTCTTTCCATGTGAAACTACCTTTGTTGTGGGATTTGGATATACGAATATCGTCTTTGATGTACCATCCGAAGACTTCGTCAGCGTAGATGGTGACTCTATACACGCCGTCCACGACCTGAGCAATGCTGAAGCTACCAGACTCATCAATCTCAGCCCAGTACTGAAGTGACTTTGTATTGAACACATTGAGCTGGAAGTCCTGCTTATTCTCCGAAAGAACAATGATCGGCTTCTTTGCGCCCTTGGGAAGCTTCACTTTGCCGCTGTAAGTAGTTCGCTTCGCTGACGGGGTATAATTAGGAACATGTTGGGCAATGCTGTCATAGAACTTTGCGTTCCACTCTGGATCCGCATACTTCGCTGCATCAGCTCTGAGATCGGCAAGGGTTGCGTCTTTATCGCCTTTGTTGAAGTAGTAGAACTGAGGACCCCATGTTCGATCAAAACCATGAGTGATGTTTGGCATCGGTGCGCCATGGTGGCCAGATACGATGTAATTATACACGATACCGTCAACGACAAGGTCGGAGTGCAGTGGGCCACCGTAGTATGTCTCTCGCGTATTATGAACGAGCCATGCACCGAATGTACTTCCATCAGCACTGGTTGAGCCATCGCTGAACTGACCGTGAACATCGTGGTTCCGCCAGCTCTCTGAAAGGGTGTACTTGGTCCAGTAGTCGGAGTATTGCTCAACGTACGGATCATCGGTTTTGTTGCCAACGTACCAAGTAGCATCTTGGACTGTCAAAGCACCCGAGGCATCTGGCAAAGGACCGTAATTTCCCTCGCTGGTGGAGAAATGAGTCCAAAGCTTCGTGTTTGGCCTGAAGAGCGTACGCAATTCACCGAGATCTCGCAAGAATGGTTTCGACGCGTTGAAGTAGGTAAGACGAGTAAAGGCATGCAGACCTGTTTCTTCACCCCGCAGGAAGAAGTACTGCGACAGAGTCTGATTGGTCGGCTTGTACGTGTCGCTCATAATAATGCCGCCATACTTGGTTCCAGTAGAGTCGGTGCCTTGAACAAGGCGGAGATCGGCGGTGCTGCCCGGTGTCCAGAAACCAGTTGGGATACAGGAGCAGTCGACATAAGGACCCTTGCCGCTATTCCCGCTCAACGCTCCGAGTAGATCTTGACCATCGAGAGTAGCATCGATGATGTGTCCACTAGACCTGGCCAGGACAACTGCGAAACGTTTGTTGGAGAGGGAGATGTGGGTAGAGTTTTCAGCAGTGGTCAATTCGGCTAAAGCATGGCTGATTAGCCCAGCGACCAAAGCCAATGAGAAGAACATCGTGATGATTGTGTGCTGATGTCTACTTGAAAAGAGACTTCACAGAGTTTAAATGCAAACATTATCACTCGGCTCAATTATACCGAATACTTCGGCAGTAAATGCACCGGGGAGAAGATCTCGTCGTTTGTATGGATGGGATAATTTAGCCGCTGGAGGAGTCCCACCACTGGGCCGCAGGACGCGGGGAAGACAGGGGCAGACATGACGATGCCTTGACCGTGAGAGGCTAAGATCTGCGTTGGCAATCCTATTCAGGCAGTTCAAAAAGGTCTTCCGGAGGAGTCTAGGGGAGGAAAGAAA